TAGAAAAATTATTTTTATTTTTGTAAATTTTTAAAAAATAAATTGTTTTTTTGATATTTAATAGTATTACGAAAAATAAACTGGAAAATATTTTTAGTATTTGATTATATTGTAAAAAATAAACTGAAAAATAACTTATTATTAATAATGTGTTATTTTTCACAAGTTTATTAAAATAATAAGAAACAAATCTTACAAATTAAAAAGTTGAATGAGAATAGAATTAAAAAAATATAATTTCATAAATTATTTTAAATAAAATAAATAATAATCAAAATAATAGAGATCAAATCTAAAAAAAATAAAAGATGAAAAAATTAAAATAATAATAATAATTAATATTTTATAAATTATTTCAAATAAAATAAGTAACAATCAAAAGAATGAGGACCAAATTTGATAGATAAAAAATTTCAATAAAAAAATAATAAGAAAAAAACAAATAAGAATTATAAAAATGAGGACCAAAGTTAATATAAAAATTAAATTTTAAGAAATGAAATTGAAAAATAAATATTCAAAATTTGGTTTTAGCCATCAAAAGTTTGAGGATCAAATTTGATATAATTAACAAATAATATGATATTTCTAAATTTTTCACAACTTTTAAAAGGTGTTTTCCGCCTAAATTTTTCAGGAAAACACTTTCCTAAAAAACAAACTAAATTTTTCTTTAACTGGAAAGTATTTTTCGTTGACTAACTTTCCTAACTGCTAACAAATACAAAAAAGTTTAGAAAATGATTTCTCGAAAACTACTTTCTGGAAAATAAATACAACATTTCCTGGAAAACACTTTCATGAAAATCAAGTCAAATTTTTCTTTAATTGAAAAGTATTTTTTCTTGATCAGAAAGTGTTTTTCATTAACCAGAAAGTGTTTTTCGTTAATTCCGTTGACTAACTTTCCTAATAGCAAACAAACACAGAAAAATTTAAAAAATAATTTTTCAAAAACTACTTTTCAGGAAACAAATATGGTCTAAATCCATCCCTGATTCGCACTCATCTTTTTATGCCCGTGTTTACGAATGACTAATATTGTTATTAACTACTACCAGGTTCGTGAAAATTAAGAAATAAATGGGTTTTTTTTTTCTATCATAAATATAAAAGATTATCATATTCTCTCAAAAACTCTCAAGATACCATTGATTACAAACAAACTCTAAATTTCTAGCAGAACTATAATTCTTTGCTGATACATTTTCTTAGATATCCCCATTGCATGATTTCAATAACATAAATTTGAGCTTGGGATCTAGGTGGTGGCCAAGTGGTAAGAGCTTGGGATCAAAGGGTTTGCTCCCTCTGTGGTCTCAGGTTCGAATCCTTGATTGCTCATATGATGGCCACTGGAGGCTTACATGGTCGTTAACTTCAGGGCTCGTGGGATTAGTCGTGGTGCGCGCAAGCTGGCCCGGACACCCACGTTAAAAAAAAAAAAAAAAAAAAAAAAACATAAATTTGAACGAAAAGTATTGGCGCACTATCCACAGTCCACACAATTGGCTCTTCTGTAGAATCCAATCATGCCACGGTTGGAGTTTGGATTCTGGAGAGCATCTTCTCACATGTTTCAGTTATTGGACTATAATTTTGCATGGCTCCAGGTCGAAGTTGTGACAATGAAATAGCTAGAGTGGCAACGTTATTTTCATATTTTATAGTGCTGATAAAACGAAACTAATTTCCATTTATATACAAGTTATAGCCGAAGACTTGTTGAAAAATGTACAAAGTACTTATTGTCTCGAGACTGAAAAGACAAAGACCGTTGAAATAAAAACAACATATCTCTCTTTACCTTTTGTTTTGAAATCCATTGCAAAACTATTTCAAAGATAAGTTTATTTTATATCCCTACATCTGCTCCTCCGACCAAACATGTTTATGTCCTTTTTTTAAAGACAATAACTAAACACAGTAGTAATTTTAGACACTTCTTTCATCATTTTCAAGAATAAGATTTCTGAAGTCTTTGGTTTTCAAATTAAGGATGTTAGTGAATATCATGCTAATCTGAGGGAACTATGTTGTAATTCATCCCTTTTAAATAAACTTCCACCCAATCACATTATCAACATATGTACTTTCAACTATTATCATACATAAGAACAAAACTGACAATGGTCTCGTCCCAAAAATAAACACTAGGGAAGAAAATTTTAGTACCTAAGACCACAATTTTTTACATTGTTGAAGAACATGCAGTCCTGCTCATCAATCATTATTAACTTCAAGTATGAACGGGCATGGAAGTTTTGAGCATTGCTGGTGATTTCATATTCTACAATTTGCAGCTGCACGAAAGAGAAACAACCTTAACAAATTGCAACATGATATCAAGCAGTTTATGTTGATATTGAATTGGTTTTTACTTACTAAAGTACACCAACTGATTGAAATCAAGAGTAACTCTGCCTTGCTTTGTTGTATCAAATGAATTAAAAAGATTCCTGCAGTAAAGGAAATGATAAATTATCTGTAAGAGCTTAATGAAGACTATTCGATCTAAAGAATGCATCATAAATGATCAAGGGGACACACACCGAGCAGACTGTACAAAGATGCAGAGACATATGAAGTCATCTAGACGAATTTTTCCATTCTTCTTTTGGTCAAAGCTCTGAGAAACAATGGGCAGATTTCACATTTCAGCACGTATAACAAGATCAAGAGAATGGCAGGAATAAGTTCCCCACTGATAGGGTTATCAAACACAAGTAAATTAAATATACAATTCCGTATACAAGCATGCTACATAACATCAAGCCAGATCTTTAAGGAATGAAGGTTGCATATAATATCTGTGACAGAATTTTATGATCCCACCCATAATGTAGGAGTGAAATAGGCCTTTACCTCACAAACTGTGTAAAAAGAAGGAGAGTCCAATGTGAAACCAATCTTCACCAATCCCTGCAACAAGTTTGAGTCATGAGAAACCAGATAATTAAGAAACGAAGAGGAGAACAGAAATTGAAGAAACCCATGTACTCTATTTCACGTATATCTCGTGAAACAAGAACAGTCTAAACAGAAGCACAGAGATTATGATTAGGTAAACTATATAATAAATGTAGGAATTTATTTTCCATAGGACTTATTGTGCCAAGAATCATGGGCAGCATTTAAAAGTATATTTATTCAGTCACAGCTAGATAACATTCTTCAAAAAACTACCTTGTAGACATCATCAGGAACAAGATATCCAAGGCCCCTGTAACAATAAGATAGAAGAAAAGACCAGTTACTTATTTTTACACAAGCAAATCCAACCATTTCCAATTTAGGAAGAGAGAGACAGGAAAAACGTGTAGAGTTCAAGCACTTGCTCATCATTGCAGATATTACCATTGACTCAAACACAAAATTTCAAAAGCTCAGATTTAGTAAAGCCAAACAAGCTCAAAGCTACAAACAGTCCATGAATCCAGAAGATTTTATTGCTAAACAATGCCCTCACACCAACCAAATACCAGAACCAATGACTAACCATACTAAAATGACTACAGAACCAACTAACCAAATGATAAACACATTTCATTTCAGCCTCTACCAAAGCTAACATTCACCATTAATGTGGAAACAAAGATAACTATCTTATCTATTCCTATTTGAATGCTTTTATATGGCTAGACTACATCAAACCATGAAAACAGTTTACAAGGCAGGAGACAAAACAATCAAAGTCTACTTTCTAGCAGAAAGCCACTAAAATTTACCTCTCGAGATCCGAGAAAGCTTGTTGAACCTGCAAAGAACACGAGTGCAAAACTCAAATACAGACATCACAAAAGTATTTCATAATTAGCTAGATAAGAACATAACGCACAAAAATATAGCCTTTTACTTCTTGAAATGGAAAATTCATGATGAAAGAACAAACCTTTAAAAGGAACTTATTAAGCCCAACAAATTCTGCATTTAGAAAAAGAAAGACATTTGACAAATCAGGAAAAAATAAACAAAACCCAATTCAAAGTTCTAAAACTTGAAGCCAAAAAAGTGAAATTCACCATCAAAACTCATAGTTCCATTCCTATCAAAATCATACATCCTACAACACAAAAATTGAAGAGCTTTGTTATATCAATTGCTTTGTATTAAAAGAGAGATTAAAGAAGAGTGTTGAGAATTGGGTTACCTGATCATTTGCTGGACAACGGAGAGAGGGAATTCAAGATTACCAACAGCAAGGGCACTCTGATTACCATCAATAATAAGATGGTTAATTAATTAAGTTGATCAAAGAGTTTAGCCTTTTTAAGCTACAAAAAAAGAAAAAGAAGAGAAACAGAAGACAGAGGGAGAAGGAGAATGACCTTGAGCTGAATTGCAGTGATGTTTCCAGTTTTCTCAGAGTCAACTCGCTCGAACCATTCTCTCAGCATACTCGTGTTCTCCATTTTCGTAGCTGCCTGCAACTGGAAGAGCTATTCCTTGAATTTTTCCTTAACTTAAAAATTTTTGGGCAAACCTCAATATCGTCCCTAAGCTATTACCAGAATCACAACTTCATTTGAATTTCCCTAACTTAAAAAGTTTTGGGCAAACCTCAATATCGTCCCTAAGATATTACCAGAATCACAACTTCATTTGACATCGAAAGACTCTTCTTAGATAAGTCCCTAATATGTATGGTTTTATTTAATTTAATTGTTATTTTGAGGTAAAAGAAATGAGTATAGTTCGGATAAAAAAATTATTTTTTATTTTAAAAAATAAAAATTTATTTTATATTTATTTTATATACTTATCTTCATCATTTTAATTAATTGAAATTTTATCTCATTTATATTTATCATTTTTATCTTAGAACACTAACGTTGAAACACAAACTATATATAATCAAATCACATTTGTTTATTAAATGATTTAATCTTAAGCATTCAAAATAAGTCTCATTTTTATTTTAATTGCAAATTATGATAAAGATTTTTGAAGAAAAACTATATAAAGATATCACCTGGTCCTAAAATGCAAACAACAAAAATACTCTCCGGCTGGTGAATTGTTATAATCATTAATCAGAAATATATTATAGTAGGGACCAAAGTAGCTGAATGGCTGCGTTTTTTTTTTATGATGGTGTTTCCTCCCTGCACCATATTGTAGTGAATAAAAATCCCTCTTTGTCGCGGAGCAGAATCATTTCGCCTATCCCCACTCACCCCTTCAATTTCCTTGCCTTGTTCAATTCAATTTGGACTCAGCTGTAAGTAAATTATTTTCAACTTCCATTGATTTGGATTCTCTATTACGATTGATGAATGAATTGATTAGAAATTTAATTCAAAATCTCATCTTTCTTAGATTGATTATGGATATTGGGAAATTCAAATTATGCTGTATGATATTTCGCATTTGAGAGAGAAGCAGGCGATGAAGTATTTACAGGATCTCATAGTTTATTATCTTTTGAAATTCTCAATTCCCTTATGGGATACTTTGATTGCTGGTGCTTTTGTACTTGTAACCTTGTCTTCGTCTTTCTACCTCTTGTTCGAGCATCTTTCCGCGTACAGGAATCCTGAGGTGACTATTTGTTTCCTTCTTTGATTGCCCTGCTTTCGGTTTTGAATGAGTTTGCTGATATTTGTTGGTTGACTGTTTGGTACTCTTTTTACCTCTCAGGAGCAGAAGTTTTTGATCGGGGTTATCCTTATGGTTCCTTGCTATGCTGTAGAATCGGTGAGTAAGTGATTGTTCTGCTTGATTGAGGTTTATTCTGTGAAAAGTTTGAATTTTGAATATTTGAATTTGGAGAGGTGGATGGAAGTTTTTGATTTTTTTCCCCTAACTTGGATTATTTTGAATAGTTTGTTTCATTGCTGGATCCGTCGATTAGTGTTGAGATCGAAATACTGCGGGATTGCTATGAATCATTTGCTATGTATTGCTTTGGAAGATACCTTGTTGCTTGCTTAGGTATGTTTCTTACTAGAAGTTTTTTGTGTGCAATGAAGGGTTTTATCCAATATTCAGTTTAATTCATCTCGTATAATTTTGTCATTTCCTAGATTCTGTAGTGGTAGGTCTTTGAAGTTGTTTACTAATTCTGGATGGTCTGATGTATTCCTCTTCATGGAATTGACATTTCCATGCTTTTGTCCATGAATCCTCTTGTGGAAGTCAGAATCTTGGGGTTTTTTTATCACCCGAAGACAGTTTCTTTCAATGGTTTGTAGTCAAGCTTTTTGGTCCTAAGGCCCCAGATGCTCATGATGGAGTTTTCTTGAATACAAGCTGCCATGAAAAAAAAAAAAAACCTTGGTGAACATGGCTTATGTATTTGTTCCTGTTCTGACAATTTCAAGGGTGTGCTAGTTTCTTTTGAAATGTGCAAAAATTAAAACATGTGCGCATGTATTTAAATAATCTATGGGTAAAGTAATATAAGATGTGAAATTGGCAAGTTTGGCTGGAAGAAATTCTCTGGCACTGTCATTGTGATGTATTGGATTTATTTGTTCATGCTTCTTTCGTACACATTCACACAAGTATGTGAACATAGTCAAATACATTCTACATTGCACGTGTGGTAATGCACATGTCTGGCTGGGTGCCATTCTAGTTTTAAATGTCATCTTACAGCATTTATGTCAAATTGCAAACTATAGTTATGTTTATAAGTGGATGTTTTGTTCTATATAAAAAATTAAAAGTTTGATCTAGTTGCTGTATGATTTTTAGTATTGTTTATTAACAAGGCATACGAATCTTCTATGATTTTATAGTTTTGTAATTATACATATGGATGAGGTATTTTCCTATGGTTTTATTTAATTATTTTCCTGATTTCATTTTGTTTATTCTTCTGGTGTTGATATTGTTATTGATAGTTGTTTTCTTTTGTCTACTTCTTAAAGGTGGGGAAGAAAGAACTATTGAGTTTTTGGAAAGAGAAGGTCGCTCGAGTTCTAAGGCACCCCTTTTAGAACATAATCATGAAAGGGGAATTATAAAACACCCTTTTCCAATGAATTATATCTTTAAACCATGGAAGCTCGGTCAGTGGTTTTACCAAGTTGTAAAGTTCGGTATTGTTCAATATGTATGTCTTCTTTTGAGAAGTTCTATATTTTGCAGCTCTTTTTACATTTCCCAATTCCAGCATTCTTGGATTGGAAAAGATTATGATCTGTATCTTTTTTGGCAGATGTTAATAAAGTCTTTGACGGCAGTTTTAGCGGTACTTCTTGAAGCCTTTGGTGTATATTGTGAAGGAGATTTTAAATTGAGATGCGGGTAAAGCTGATTTTGATTTTTACATTTGTGAGGTCCATTGCTTCTTTTCTTTATTGAAACTTGAACCTGTTGTTTTCTGTATAGGTTTTCATAGGAATGATAGAGGTTGAGAATTATCATCCTTATGCCAATGTACTTGTTGTTTCACAGTTTAATTGCATATTCTTTATAAAGGTCATTCCATGTGGACTCATTGTCTTACCTGCGAGTGTGTATATAATGATTCCTACTTCTAAATTGGCCCCAATTGATGTGTACTCTCTTTTACCAGATATCTCTTGTCAAAAATCACTGAATACCTTAGCATTCCCGTGGTTTTGTAGGTATCCTTACATGGCGGTGGTTCTAAATTTCAGTCAATCTTGGGCTTTGTACTGTTTGGTGCAATTTTACGCTGCCACAAAGGATGAACTGGCTCACATAAAACCTTTATACAAGTTCCTGACGTTCAAATCGATTGTATTTTTGACTTGGTGGCAAGGAGTAGCAATTGCTCTTCTCTACTCTCTTGGTTTATTCAAAAGTCCTATAGCTCAAGGCTTGCAATTTAAGTCAAGTATCCAAGACTTCATCATTTGTATAGAGGTAGATAGCTTTCATTCCATGGTATCTCCTTTTCTGTTCTGTTCCATTCGTATATTACTCTTGCTCTTGGTGGTGTAAGATAATATGTTGCTGTACTAGTAGCTGCCTTTGACATGATGAAGTGAATAGGTTAATGTCTTGGGTGAATCAAAATTCTGAACTACTCAAATGCCACTAGGTTCTTTCATGGACAAGTCAAGATTTTATCACAAGATATATGCGAAAGTTATGTAATTCCAACTTGAGTGTTGGAATTCTTATGACAGAGCAAACGCAAGATTTTGTTTTTCAATAAAACATCCATCCATGTTCATGTGCCTTCTATTATTTGTGGATGGTATAGGAGAAAAGTAAGCATTCTGGGAACTGGAAATGCTTGTCTAGTTGCTTCTCTAGAGAGGAAACTATGGCATGTTGCTGATTGATGAGCTTTAGGGCAAGGGTCAAGTAAAAAGTAAATTGGCAGTGTTCTGCAATTTAGGGCCAGTGCAGCCTGTCTCAAGTTGTTGAAATAAGGGGATGCAGTGAGGAGAGGAGCAGATAATGGTCGTAGATATTACAGTTCAGAAGGAGGGTGGTAAAGAGTTGGATGCAGTGCGCTTGGGCTTTAGCTTAAGTGGTGAAGGGCAGAGGAAGAGTTTGAATAAAATAGACTTGAGCCTAATCTTATCAATCAAGAAAAGGGACAAAATAAAAAGCGTTCAAGTGGATGTACTGTTTGGTTGCTCATGTAGCATGTCTAGGATGTCATTTCTCAAGGACTTACCATTCTGAAATGCTGGACACATCACCTTTGCATTATTTGGCGCTGCCAGACTGATAATTTCTGTTACATGGCTGTTTAAACTTGCTTATAGAATGTTTTATGGGGCAATTCATTTTGTTTTGTTGTTCTGGGGATTTCTGCCTTGTCATTTGCTTTAGAACTACTTGAAAAAAATATGTTATTCTACTAGCATGGGTGTTCTGCAGTAGGTTTAGCGATGGAATAGACAGAGGCATCTGATACAAAGTTACAGTGATTATCCACCGAGACATGCTGGTGAACCTTGCCATTTGCCCTCCTGTTTAATGGTTATGGTGTAAACAAAGTTATGAACTATGGTTGGTCCTGTGTCTTTCACTGCAATGTGCTACATGTGTTAGTGGTTAAATTTGATAGGTGATGTTTTCTTGTAGCTATTGTTACAATATTCCTGGGGAGTGCAACAGTCATCAATGTCTAGATCTCTTCAATAAAGTTTATAATTGCTTTTTTTATCTCATTCAAAATATTGAAGTTTAACAGGTCACTGTATCCATCCAGCACAGATGGGCATTGCTTCTATTGTTCATCTGTATGTGTTCCCTGCCAAGCCTTATGAGCTAATGGGAGACCGGTTTCCTGGAAGTGTTGCAGTTCTTGGAGATTATGTATCTGTTGATTGCCCGGTAGATCCTGATGAGGTTAGAGACAGTGAGCGGCCAACAAAGCTACGCCTTCCTCAACCTGACATTGATGTTAGGAGTGGAATGACCATAAAAGAAAGTGTACGAGATGTTGTTGTTGGTGGTGGTGGATTTGTAAGTTTCTTTAATTTAGCTTATAATAAGAATGCAAATGGAGTATAGCTGTGCAGTCACTAACCTGAAACTTTATTGATACTGTAAACAAAAGGAGTTGCTGGTTCAGTATCAGCTTTGCCAGTCTAGTAATAAATTAAACTGAAGGCCAGTCAATGTCAATATGTGAAAATGTGATAAAATTACAGTGTAAAACACAAATCTGGCAATGTGCACTGTTAATTTGGTCTGGTGAAGCACATTACATCACATTTATCTACTGCTGAATCAGCTGTTGCCTCCCATGCAGATTGTGAATGATGTGAAGTTCACTGTAAACCAAGCAGTGGAGCCTGTGGAGAAGGGAATTATAAAGTTCAACGAGAAACTGCATAGAATTTCTCAAAATATGAAGCAGCACAACAAAGACAGGAGAAGAACAAAGGATGATAGTTGCATAGCAACATCTTCACCCACACGGAGGGTCATTCGTGGAATTGATGACCCTCTTTTAAATGGGAGCTTCAGTGACACTGGGGTAGCAAGGGGGAAGAAGCACCACAGCAGGAAATCAGGATATATCAGTGGAGAAAGCGGGGGAGAAAGTAGCAGCGATCAAAGCTATGGTGCATATCAGGTCAGGGGTCGTAGATGGGTCACTAAGGATTAGAATCGTTTTTCTTTATTCCATTTTTTACGGAAACAAATTCAGGGGTATCAGATCAGGGGTCACAGAACAACCGGAGGAAACTCAAATCAAAAGGATGTCTTGTCCTGGCATCCCAATCACATGAGCTATTAATTTTCTCCGATGGGATGGTTTTTGGCTGACATGCATGAGAACATCTCAAATTTTCATCTGAATCCATCTTTACATCAACTGTAAGATCCTTCATGATGGGGTTGCTAGGCATGTATCATATATTTGGTTTTCGAAATTTTGTATTAAAGTTTTAAAAGCCCTGATTGTGAAAACCAACACAGCTATTGAGCTACTTTAACGTTTGAGTCTTGTTAAATTAACGTGTATGTACGTCAATATTTGGACTTCACATGCTGTTTTACTTATTGACCATAAAAGATTAGAAATCATCTATCATTTAGTCTGCCTGTTCCATCACGAAGAAATGAATAAAAAAAACCCAGCAATGCATAACCACAGCTCCATGCGTTGTTTGTTCCTTGTACATGTGGCTCCTCCACCAATCAAGCTCCCGAATCGGCGAAATCTCAACGACCAGGTCATTGCACAAAACCTTGAACAATAGCGGCCCAACTGGATAAAACTCAACACAACCGTTGGCATAATAACGGTGGTCCACCACCAAAAGCGTGAAATTAAAACTCAACAGAGCCACCACCTTGCATGTCCTCATTGATCCCATGCAAGACCCACCCCTCAAATATCTTACCATCTAATTGGGACTCCAACTAGGGTCTTGCTGGATGGAAGGCTTCATTGGCTTAGTTGGATTCGCATGCATTATAAACTTCCCGTTATTCTCTCTTTTCATCTTGCAGATGATCGATTGCAAGTAGTCCCAAAACCTAATGGTTGTGGCTCCAATAGGTGTGGCTATCAACTTGTTATTCTAGGAGATTGTCTTCTGTAACACCATTGTGCAACCAAGGAGAATTTGAGAAATGGTTATGGAATATGGAGCGGTGGAGTCTTGGGTCAAGAAGTACAACATGGGAGCTTCCTTGCCAAGGGGTTTGGAACAAGATAAAGTTTTAAACAGCGGATTTGTTAAAGTTTTATGCCTGTTGAAGAACGGTGAGATGTTGTTGGAGTATGAATGCAGAGCTCTGGTTTCTTCTGACCCAAAGCATGGGACGTTCAGGGATCTTATGTTTCACGGGGTGCCAGGCTTATTTGAAGCAGTTCTTCATATTGGGAACCTCCGTTGGATTGACTCAGTTACTGAGACTTGGTGTGCAGAAAAACAAGGGAGAGTTTGCTTCTCATAAACTCTGTTTACTCTGTTCTTTTTCTTATTGCTGCTGTCCTTTTGTCTGTTTGGAACTGTGTTATTGTGTGAAATCACAAATATGTGACCCAAGCTTGGGTGCTTGCCAATTATACCATCAGTTTGGTGTTGGCCTATATACTGCAAACCATTTCATTTATGGCAAAATCCTCTACCTATCAAGTATATTTTATCCAAAACACGTTGAAACAGAATGGATCTTTTATTAAGCAGGCTATTCTATTGCTCATCAGAAGAATCATTGTTGCTTCAGGGGATATTTTTCAAGTCTAAACAAAATCAAATCACTGAAATCTCAAACCACATCACTCAACATGAGTTGCAAATTATTCTACCGGCCTAAGTTCTCCAGTAACCAGTGCAAATTTCCGGTGCTGAGACAAGACAGAAGGGACCTTGACTGCTTGAATTATTGATGCCAGGTCATTTGAGGACGACCCTGTGTTTTGCTTGGTTGCATTTAGTACTGTTTGCAAGATTTGCAAGGGGTCACCATGGCTCACAATCAGGACTGCACACCTGCACAGCAATTGATAATCAAAACGACGCCTTTACAGCCAATGCGTGGTTCGCATTAAAATGCAACTTGAAAAAGAATGGGTTTCTTTTATATGTTCCCAGAAACGTTCAATATTTCCTAAAAACACTTTGATGGATTATAAGGTTATAATACTGAGGGTGCTAAAACTGTTTCCTCATTTTCTGGATCATGCTATTCATAATGCCAAAGAAATATGGACATGCTTACCCTTGAAATTCTGACTCGATAATTGCCAGAGCACTTGCAAGTCTAGTAGCGACATCATAAACGCTTTCTCCACCTTCTGGTCGCATGAATGGATCTTTCTCATCAAGTGCCCATATCTCCGGATACTGTTGATTGAGAAAGAAAAAAGGTAAACCTCAATTGCTAGTGGGAAGGGCTGTGCTTCTTTGGCTTAGATGGTGTGGGTTATTGAGTGAGGCCATTGTTGCAGTGAGTACTTCATCTTACCATATACATGTACAAAAGACCCTTAATCTAGTAGCCTATGGCAAGAAAAATCTAAAATAAACTCCACGAATGTGTTACCTTATCATGTGAAAAAAGTTCAAATGAAGGACCAAAATAGCGTTCTCGAAGATCTCCCATCATCTGCCAAGTAGCATTTACTTTATAATGAGTATGCGGAATAACAACAAACATGCAAGAAAAAACTCATTACATTTAACTGACTGAACACAGGTTTCTGATAGAAAAGAGACCAGATGTTCAGCAGATTATTTTCTTCAGATGGTAACAAATTAGCACCACAGACTCAGGTCAAAAGAGGAGCTTACATGGCCAGCAGCCCAATAAAATGAAAGATAACCATGCAACTTCTTTGCATGTTGGGGGGGGGGGGGGGGGG